TAGTTTTATTTATTCCTTTCCAATGTGGATGCCTTTCATGTAATTTTGTGCTATTGTCCTGATTTGAACCTCCAGTATAATGCTGAATAAAAGTGGCAGGAGTAGGTATTCTTGCCTTGTTCCTGATCTTAAGAGGAAAATATTGTCTTCCCATTACAATGTTAGCTGTAAGTTTTTCTTAGATGCCCTTTGTCAGGTTGATGAAGTTCTCTTTTATTTCCAGTTTTTTGAGAGTTTTTAATCATGCATGGTTGTTGGATTTTGTCAAATGCTTTTTCTGGGTCTTGAGATGCTCATATCATTTTGTCCTTTATTCCATTACTATGATGCATTAAATTAACTTTCTAATGTTGAATCAGTTGCATTTCTAGAATAAATCCCACATGATCAGGGCAAATAATCATTTACGTTGCTAGATTTGATTTGCTAATAATTTACTTTTGTGTCTAATTTCAGGAAGGATATTAATTTGTAGCGTTCTCTTCTTGTGATGTCTTTGTCTGACTTCGGTATCAGGGTAATACTTGCTTCATAGAATGAGTTAGGAACTGTTTCCTGTTTTCTGAAAGACTCATATTATTTCTTCTTTAAATATTTAAGTGTATGTAGAAATACAATTGATTTTTTTATAGTAATCTTCTATCTTGTGGCGTTAACTCAAGTATTAGCTACGATGAGACTTGTTTATTCTGCACATTCCTTATAATGTTTTACATACGGAATTCTTTTCTTATGATGTCTTTGTCTGGCATTGGTATCAGGGTAATACTGGTCTCATGGAATGAATTGGGAAGTGTTCCTTCCTCTATTTTTGGAAAAAGTTTATGAAAGATGGTTATTATTTATTCTTTAAATATTTGGTAGAATTTACTAATGAAGCCATCTGTGCCTGCACTTTTCTTTGTAGGAAGATTTTTAATTACTAATTGTAATTCTTTAANTGTTCAAAAGAAGGACCCTTTGGACAGTGATAATACATAGATTTCAGCTACTAGTATAGAAATTATTTTACTGGATTAGGACGACATTTTGGTAGTTATGAAAACTCCAAGAAACTTCCATCAGCTTGAGTTTTCTCTCATCTGAAGCTTTATACTGAATGGCCTTATTTCTAGTCATCGAAACCATGCTCATAAAGATTCAGAATAGAAGCTTTTTTTGGACAATTTGCTTTTCAAATTTTAGTATTAGCCATGAATACAAATTAACTCTAAGCCTTCAATACCTGAGGTGAGGAAAACTACATGTCCACTGTTGGCACTCTTCTTGTAGACTCTTGGTATGCACACTCAACTTCTGCTCATACAAGAGCTCGTCAATGGCTGTGAACATTGCCTGGACTTTTTCAGTGGCATTTTGATCAAGTTCCTGGAAGAAAATAACATCCCAAAATATTTAGGTGAACTTCAACCTCTGTTAAAAAGCATAAAGGTTGAAAGCAATCAGATTTAGATATATCTACTTTTCTAAAGTAACATTTTCTTCATAATAAAATTACTGTATTGTAATCATTTTGAAAAATACAGAAAAGTATAAAGAAAAAATAAAAATTACCAATAATTCTACCATTCTAAGATAATGGTTGCTAATTTAGGTATAGTTTCTGGTGCCATGCTAGTATTTTTTTAGAGCTTAAGGTAGACAATCAGATTATATATATATATTTGTAGTCTTTATTTTTTTCAGTTGACAATTTAGGTTATATCCTTGTCCTGTGTAGTCTATCTTTTAGCAGCAGCCAAAGGGATGGCTATAAAGTGTGAATCTGAGCATGTGATCATGTTATCTGATTCTCTGCTTACTCTCTACTTCATGTTTATGTATCCTTTTACATTCCAGTGTAAGAAATGTTATATCTTCTTTTAAAAATATAAGATGAAAAATATGTATTTTCACTCTAAGAATGAAAGTCAACTTCTATACAATAAAAAGAGCTTGCTTGCTAGGTAGGTATGAAGGTTAACTGTAAAAACAATACAAATAAATATTTTTAAATTTTTTGTTTTCAAGCTCCTGGGCGGGGTGGGGTGGGGATGTGTGTGAAATGAGACTCTCCTAGTGTTAGTGAACTTTGTTATTCTTTACTGTTAAATATTTATCTACTTAAATTCTACTTATGTCAGCTTTCTTTTGCTAGCACTGCCTGTTATAACTTTTCCCATCCCTCAATTTTCAACATTTGGGTGTCTTTCCTTTTTGGACATGTTTCTTTAAGTAGCATGTAGTTGGATTTTTAAAAAATCCAATTTCAGAGTATCTGTTATTATGTAAATTTTATCCACTTATAATTATTGTAATGTGCAACATTTGGACTTATTTCTACCATTTATTTTAACCTTTTTTGTGTTTTTTATCCTGTTTTCCTTCTGTTACACTGAGTTTTCCTTATTCCA